GTCCCAGAGAGTTTTTAGTTTTAGTGTTTGTGCCAAAAATATGTTGTTTGAGCACTGTGCTGATCTGCTGAAGTAAAAATCTTAGAAAAATCAAAGAAAAGTACAGAAATAGGGAGCAAAGCGCAGAGCAGTAAGCAAGAACGTCCGAACGGTAGCGAAGCCGGAAGCGGGAAGAGTTACTGCTAGAATGTTACTAAGCAGTTGCTAGGGTGTAATGGGGGGTTGCCTGGATGTTACCATGCAGTAGCTAAGGTGTTCTGATATTGTGTTGCTATATGGTTGCTAGGGTGTGCTTAGTGGTTGCTTGGGTGTTACTAAGCAGTTGCTAGGTTGTTGTGGGTGGTTTGTTACTGTGCAATTGCTAAGGTGTTCTGATTGATTGTTAACATGTTGCTATGTGGTTGCTAGGGTGTTCTGGGTGGGTGGGCAATTAAGTACGTTTTTCTAGGTTTTCATTCAATGTATAACTTTTTTTTAAAGCACATTTCTGAAGATTTAACTGAAAAGAATACGAAACGTTTAACAGCTGTGGGTTCAACACTTTTAGTTTCTTTCTTAGGTTAATTATGTCAGCTTCTCAGGAGTCTTTGTGCCCAAACGATCAAAACTTGTCATAAAGTGCATAAACTCATGTCAGTTTTCTTCTATATCTATGACTTATGTTTATGCAAACGTCAAGCTTTTCCTTTCAGGTTTTAGTTGTAGTGATGCTTGACTTGGTAAACATTTCTAATGAGCAACTTGTGCTGTTTTAATGCATTTAATGCATAAACCTGCCACTGAACCTGTTGCTGTCATTTCTCAGAGGTCGACTGCATCTGTCTGTGTGCTGCAAATAAATGCCATTGGTATTGAACAGCATATTTAGTCTAAGACCTCGGGCACTTTGATATTTCCAACCGCCTGTTTCTGTTCATAATGGTTTCCTGAGAGTGACATAATAAAAGTCCTAAAAACACTCAACCGCAGCTCTGGGCTGCCTGTTACTCAACAGACATCTTTTTGAAATTACACGCTCATAAAGTCATCTGATTGAACCTGAACTATGCTGTTTGTTGGTTTTCAGAGTCTGTTCATTTTTTGCATCGATTAGTCTTTTGTGTTTTGCATTGAACTTGTGTGTTACGGTACCAGTACAAAGCGACTTTTTTAGTTTTTGAAGACTAAAACGAAGGTCAGTTTGAGCTTTTGGATCTGTGTTGTTAACTTTGTTCCTCAAGCACCTTTACAGTACTCAATGTCCTTTGGCTTCTGCACAGTGGACCACTTGAGAAAAGATCTGGACGTGATCGATCAGTTAGGAGCTGTAGCTGAGGGCTAACCAGGTGTTGTGACACCTTTTTATGGTTTTTCCTCGCCCAGGGCCTACAACAGGTGGATGACTGGGATGACTTGACCTCATCGCTGAAGAATCCTGGATCTCCTTCTGTATTCCAACATGGTTATGAAAACAAAACCTGTGCGGACGGCAATTAGAAAGCTCACTTTTTTCGTTTTATATTTTGTGTCTTGTTTTCTGAGAAATGGTTCAGAATTAGGGGTTCAGAAAAATAAACTGAATTCAAACTGAAAAGTTCATTTTTCCAACCCCATTGATATTTTTCTCATTTGAATCATAAACCCACTTAATTTTGATCAATTTCTCAGAATACAAGGCTTCTTAGGGTGTTGTTGGTGGTTTCCAGGGTGTTGCTATGCAGTTGCTAAAATGGTCTGATTGATTGATTGTTGCTGCGTGGTTGTTGGGGTGTTATTGGTCATTGCTTGGATGTTACTAAACAATTACTAGGTTGTTGTTGGTGGTTTCGCGGACGGCAATTAGAAAGCTCACTTTTTTCGTTTTATATTTTGTGTCTTGTTTTCTGAGAAATGGTTCAGAATTAGGGGTTCAGAAAAATAAACTGAATTCAAACTGAAAAGTTCATTTTTCCAACCCCATTGATATTTTTCTCATTTGAATCATAAACCCACTTAATTTTGATCAATTTCTCAGAATACAAGGCTTCTTAGGGTGTTGTTGGTGGTTTCCAGTGTGTTGCTATGCAGTTGTTAAGGTGGTCTGATTGATTGATTGTTGCTGCGTGGTTGTTGGGGTGTTCTTGGTCATTGCTTGGATGTTACTAAACAATTGCTAGGTTGTTGTTGGTGGTTTCCAGGGTGTTGCTATGCAGTTGTTAAGGTGGTCTGATTGATTGATTGTTGCTGCGTGGTTGTTGGGGTGTTCTTGGTCATTGCTTGGATGTTACTAAACAATTGCTAGGTTGTTGTTGGTGGTTTCCAGGGTGTTGCTATGCAGTTGCTAAGGTGGTCTGATTGATTGATTGTTGCTATGTGGTTGCTTGGATGTTATTACGGCTGCAGTCCTTAAGATTTGCCTCACTTTTAAATAGTTTTTAGTTGTAGGTGGTTTCTAGGCCATTACTGTGCAGTTGCTAAGGTGTTCTTTGATTGTTGACGTGTTGCTGTGTGGTTGCTAGGGTGTTCTTGGTGGTTGCTTGGATGTTACTATGCAGTTGCTAAGGTGTTCTGATTGATTGTGTTGCTATGTGGTTGCTAGTGTGTTCTAAGTGGTTGCTTGAATGATACTAAGCAGTTCCCAGTTGGTGGTGGTTTCCAGGGCGTTACTATTCAGTCGCTAAGGTGTTGACTGATTGTTAATGTGTTGCTGTGTGGGTACTAAGGTGTTCTAGGTGGTTGCTTGGATGTTACTAAGTAGTTCCCAGTTGTTGGTGGTCTCCAGGGTGTTACTATGCAGTTGCTAAAGTTTTGATTGATTGTTGACATGTTGTTGTGTGGTTGCTAGGATGTTACTAAGCAGTTGCTAGTCTGTGGTTGCTGGTTTCCAGGGTGTTACTATGCAGTTGCTAAGGTGTTCTGATTGTTTGCTAACATTTTGCTATGTGGTTGCTAGGGTGAATGTTTGTTTTAAAGCACATTTCTGAAGATTCGGCTAAGCGGAATATAAAACATAAAAACACGTCACTCTTTTTCAAAAAGGTTTTAATGCGTTTTAATACATTTAAAGCATTAACCTGCTTGATATCTCAAACATAGACTGCATAGATTTTTTTTTTTGGCCCCATGGACATATATTTGCTCTAATTTAAATCGTAAACTCATTTCATTTTCATCAGTTTCTCAAAAAAAAAAAAAATTTTTTTTTGGATCCTAAGTAAAAGTATCTTGATTTAAGAATGTTTAGTCATTTCTACTGGAAAGCAAGCCAAAAATGCTGAGGAGGAAAATCCCTTTTGCAGTGCATCAGTTTGCTTTTTCCATTAGGCCAGAAAAATAGTTTCCATTGGCGGTTGGAGGCGTAACAATACCTTCGCACCTGGTATTCCAGCCCTTCTCCGCCACGCCTCCACCCTGAGCTCCAGCGGCCCGCCAAGCCTGTGCAAACCCATAAATTCCTTTGCCTTGAGGGAGTGTCTTTACACCTGTGAAAGGAAACCCTCCTCCACCACTGCTGCCCACCTCAGGCTGGAAATTCAGTCCAAACTCTCCTGCCAGAACCTCATATCTGATCTCGCGTCTGAAGAATGCATTTCGGAGGAGCTGATAAAATGTTCTGGTTGTGTAACAGTGCCATCTGGTTTGGTGTGTACGCTCAAGTCCTGGCGGCGACTCTTTCTGGGATTGGCACGCGGGGTTGGATGGGTTTAGATGAGTTGGCGGATGAAGGGCATGTCAGTGATTCTTCTCGTCTTACTCATGTGATTCGTGACATATGTAACAAATAAGTCAGCGTTGAGTGTTTTATTCCACCTTTGCACTATTTTGACTCATGCAAAAGTAAACAGGAGATCGTTTGTCACGTTGAGAGCATATTAAATGAACAGTCATGGTGTTAAAATCTTCTGGATGAGATGCGATTTATAAATTAATATTTTGCAATAAACTTAGTTACACAATATTTTATAAAATAAAATATTTAATACATACTATTTTATATTATCTTAACATAAAATATGTTGTTGTGAAATATTATCTCTCTTACGCTCTATAAAATATTTTGCAATAAACTTAAAATATATTATTTTTGTACTCATAACCAACATAGTTTTTTATTTTCCCATTCATTTTATTTCAGTTACATCATATGCAATGCCCTTATTGTATATTTTTCTTCAGATCAAAGCTTCTAATATTGTGATTAATCATAGAGCCGGTTGTTTCGGTTCATGTCTTTAAAACTCTTTAATCTATGATTTATTTTTTAACATTAGAAATTTAAATAGAGTAAAAACTAGCTAACTGTGAACACGATCATTTGAATTCCGCTAGTCTGACAAGTTGCATTGAATATTGATCGAACGTTGGGTTTATGCTGGTTTGCAGCCATTAAAGAACCAATGATTACTGAGCGTTCATACCGAATGTGACTGTTTAATTGTCCCATTTGTAGTTTCTGCTTCGCATCATTGAGCCAAGCTTGACTCAATCGACTGCTGTTGCGTTTTTCACTAAGAGTATAAAACTTTAGCAGCAGCTGTGGAAGCGGTCAGCGCTATTTCATGTTCTTTGGATCTCGTTTTTGTTGTCTGTGCTCCAGATCCGCGGCTCAGCTCGAGGCTTTCGGCCAGCTGAATTATCGTCATCATAACCACGATGCCCAGCATTGATTCGCTCCCTCCAAACGCACACCTTCTCGATTACATTAGCAACACTGGCCCACTGACGCGCCAACATGTTGTTCCAGTAAATACCGAGGTCTGATGCCAGACAGGCCTGCGCTTCTGTCCACCAAACCAGAGAGCCGGTTTACTGCCGTTCATACTGAGTTTCTTTACTGGAAAAACACATTTGCTGTTGGCCTTCAGTCTGAGCTTCTAGCAGCATAACAGTGTCTTTCTGTTAGAACATCATGACCTGAGTTCAGTGCATCTCAATCAAGCTGATGGTCAGATTATTGCTCTGATGTGAGTCAGTAAGTCCGAAGCTGGACGTATGTGGTCTGGAACCGGTTTTAACTCAGTTTTCTGGCTTTGTTCCTGCAGGGAAGCACGATTCTACTGGCATCTGAAGATCCATTTTCCTCAGAGCGACGCGGTTTATTCAGAGAGGTATAAAAACCCTTCTCGTTTCACATTTAGTAGGGCCATATTATAGAATTATAAGAATGAAATAAATCTAGTTAAACCATTAAATCAGAATCCAGACAAATTAAAACAGAAAACATAGAATTTCGGGGGGAAATCAAATGAGTTTCATAAAGCCATAAAATATCATTTTTGATAATATAATGATATATAAGATAATATAATTAATATATTTTGATTAATTAGTTTTATTTTAATTTTTTTATTGATCAGTTAATTTATTGGTAAAATTTAATTTAACCATTAAAACTGAATCCAGAAAATCTAAATGGAAAACATAGAACTTGAGAAAAATAAAACAGGATTTTGGGAAAAAAAATTAAATGGATTTCTTTTGGCCCAAAAAAAATAATTTTTGTTAAACTTTTATTTAATAAATGGGGGAAAAAAATAAATGAAATGGATTTCATATGGCTCTAAAAATGTATTTAAAATTTTTTTAATTCATACATTTTAATTCTTTAGATATGCTTTTTAATTGTTAATTTTAAATTAAAATTAATACATTTTAATAATTAAAGTTTTATGAATTCAGTTGATTAGACATGTTTTTTATTAAAATGTATTAAACCATTAAAACTGAATCCAGAAAATCAAAATGGAAAACACAGAATTTGAGAAAAAATAAAACAGTATTTTGGGAAAAAAAATAAAATGGATTTCTTTTGGCCCCCAAAAATAAATTTTTGTTAAACTTTTATTTAATAAAAAAATTAATTAACTGGACATGGTTTTTGATTGTTAAAATTTAATTAAACAATTAAAATGGAATCCAGAAAAGTAAAAATTGAATTTTGGAAAAAAATGTAAAAGTACAATAAATAAAAATGGATTTCATATGGCCCAAAAAATTTATTTAAAAAAAACTTTTAATTAATAAATTTCAATTCATTAGATAAGCTTTTTAATTGTTTAATAAAAATTCTAATAATTAAAGTTTTATGAATTCAATTGATTAGACATGTTTTTAATTATTAAAATGTATTAAACTATTAAAACTGAATCCATAAAAATTAAAATGGGAAATAAAAAAATTGAATTTGTGGAAAAAATCAAACCGTTTCCAATTTGGGCCAAAAAAAATAAAAAATTTAAACTTTTAATTCATACATTTCAATGAATTATTTTTAAATTATTTTAATAATCAATCAATTTATTAGTAACATTTTAACATTTAATTTAACCATTAAGATGGAATCCAGAAACATTAAAAAAAAAAGTGATTTGAGAAAATAAATTAAACGGATTAACGTGATGACAAACCAGTAGTCATGAGTAGCATAAAAGCAAAAGTTAATTCAAAAATGTAAGTAATCACTCTCTCGACCAATTTTAAGGTCATAAGACAATGATTTTTACCAGACAAATTTACAGGAAGGACTGGTTTTGTGAGATAGACCCAGAAAAACAGAATTGTTTAGTCAAAATTGTTTAGTCAGCTCTTTATTTTAATTGTCTGTTTTCGTTGTTTTTATTATTCGATTGTCCCTTTCCTCAGGTGTCCTGATAACCGGCAGCTCGATCAGATTCTCAACGACTACATTCATCCTTCAGAATCAGATCCAGTCAAACGGCAGAAGTATGTATCGCTCCGTCAAACATCCACACGTTTCGTCAATGCCACATTTATCCCACTTTTGCGTTAACTTGCATTGATATCAAGCTGTGTCCTGATAACCGGCAGCTCGATCAGATTCTCAACGACTACATTCATCCTTCAGAATCAGATCCAGTCAAACGGCAGAAGTATGTATCGCTCCGTCAAACATCCACACGTTTCGTCAGTGCCACATTTATCCCACTTTTGCGTTAACTTGCATTGATATCAAGCTTCCGCAGGTTCATGGTTGCGGTTGCCAGATTTCAAGAGTTTAAATCTCCCAACCAGAGCTTTTCTTTTAAAACATATGCATTTTCTGCCTGATCTTTTACTTGATTTTCCCAAACTGGAAAATCCATGAGCACACTTTGCTACAAAAAACACCAACAAACTTATATGCTGGAATTAAGCGATCTCCATTGAGAGATTCTGCTCAAATGAAATTTCACTGTTTCAGCTTTTCAGAGAAGCTTTTTACAGATTTTAATAGTTTTTATTATGTAAAGAGTGCTAATGCATACGATAAATATAATAAATCAGAAAACTACAAGAAGTTAAATAAACCCTGTGTATTAGTTGCTGTTCCATTGATTTGTGCTTATTTGTGTGCAGTAATTCTAATGAAATGTGAAAAGAAATTAGACCAATCGTGATTAATGGTAATTAAAATGTAATTCTTTAGCAAAATAATCATGTTTAAGTGTTATATAAGTTTATATAGGCAACGTACACACTGTAAAGTAAATCCTCTAAATTACAGTTTTGAGTGTGTACGAACAGAACTACGATGATTGACACCGTTGTAACCATTTTTTTTGTCGTTTTGCCATCTCACGTATCCGATATTTTTGACCAAAGTATTATTACAGAGACCAAAGACTGGTTATGTTCGGGCATTTTTAACTAAACCATTGTCGACAGAGCCATCGTGTTTTGTTAATGTTTGGAAGGATGCTTCGCAGAGCGCGCTCTTGAAGGGTTGCCATGTCCACTTTTTATAAGCAACACTTATTAAAAGGGATACACCGATTTATCAACCAATAATCGCTATCGGCAGATAAAAGCAATTATTTGCACTATCGACCATCGGCGGATTGTTTAATAACAGCCGATGATCAGAGCCGATTCTATCCTGTCAATCAAAAGGGGGCGGAAAAGCTTGTAAAACAGCAACTTGCGTGAAGAAAATGTTTCTTGTGTCAAATTTAAAGCTGTCCCAGGTAAAGCAATAATAATGCATTAATGCAGCGCCGTTGATACGGGTTTTATTTGACCCTATGAGTCACCCGTATTTCAAGACAAGGTTGCCAGATCCACGGTTTTCCCTTCAACAAAACATAATTTGTAGCACACCTCCAATACAATTATCGCAAAGAGTTTGTGCTCTGTTACTTCTGATAAGAAACAAAGTCTCAGCTTTCAAATCATGTACATTTTATCACAAAATTCAAACAATAAATGCCGTTTTGATGCTCTTAAATGTGGCGCGACAGATCGCTGTAGCAGCTTCAGTTCAAGGGCGAGTCCCTTCCACTTTAATACAAGTTATAGCACAGAATAAACATGAATGAACATCAGAAGGTTTTGAAAGATAAATTAAAACTTACTGACATGTTTCAAGTCTCGTGTAATCGCTCAATCAGTGTTTCAACCGAAAGAAAGACGTCAAATAAAACCGCTTGTGAACAATGTCACGTAACATTGCATTCACCTCAGGAAAATGATCCAGTGTTTGTTAGTTACCTATAAAAAACACTAGAGGGAGCTTATGTAATGTTAATTTGGCCTGTATATGTATATTTGAATAAATCCGTCATGAAGACAAGTTTTTATGAAAACTACATTATGTGCAATTGACATTTTTATTTCTGTGCGATTATTATATCTGAAAATAAATAGCGTTGAATATAATAGTTTTGTTGTTCATTTTAACCTCCCTGTGTAGTTTACAGCATTAGTTGGCAGTGATTTTTTTTTTTCCTTAAAGCTAAACTATCGATATCGGCAGATATTATCGAATATTATGAATTATCGGATCAGCTGAGAAATTTCATATCGGTGATTCCCAACTTATTAAACATCTTTGGGCTTGTTTTTTGGGTTTGTAAAGTGATCCGCTTTATGGAGCTAATAAGGTCGGCAGGTGTAGGGTGCGATATTTTGGATTTAAGTTTATTATGGGCTTTGTTCTTATTTGCTGTTTTTTTAAAGTAAGATCTGGCAACCCTAATGAGTCAAAACGTACCTCGTTCACTGTGATTTCACAACTCTGATACGTGTTTAACCCTCTGGTGTTGTTCATTTGGGAGTCACACACACTTGTGTAGTTCTGAAATGAAACTATTTTTTATTTTCAGTGAAATCAATGTAATGTATTTTTGTTCGATAATATTTTTTCTTTTGTATTTTGAGAGAATTTCATGGTACTATTTAATATTTATGCAATAATTATGATCAATTTTTCCCATTGAAAATAATACAAAAATATATTTTCTAATATTTTTCTATTATTTTTCGATTAAAAATAGAGACAATGCCTTTAAAATCCATTTTTTGAAGGCAGATTAGTGCCATTTGGTGGGAGTAAAAAAAGAAAAACATCTGAAATTCTGTGTTTTAGCCACTAGATTCCTATAGAGCTCTATAGAAAAGATAATAAAGTTTTTGAAATGCCAGTTTTTGCATTAATTTTACTACAGTCAAACCTGAACTCAAAGAAAGGCATTTCATTACACATAACATCAAAATTCAACAAAAATGTAACGAATATGAACAGGAATGCTTTATCAGAGGTTAATCAATCTGATTTCAACCTCTTATTTGAGTCTTCTGTTAAATTTTGGCATATTGTAACAGCCACACCAGTTCATTTGTGTGTGTGTGTGTGTATAATAGTGTGTGTGTGTGTGTTTGTGTTTGTGTGTGTGTGAGAGTGTGTGTGTTTGAGTGTGTGTGTGTGTTTGAGTGTCTGTGTGTGTGTGTTTGAGTGAGTGTGTGTAAGTAAGTGAGTGTGTGTTTGTGTTTGTGTGTGTGTTTGTGTGTGTGTGTGTGTGAGAGAGTGTGTGTGTTTGTGTCTGTTTTATACTCTTGAAGTTTTAGATTGTCACCCCTTCCTTGGTGTCTGTGTTCTTACTCCATTGTGGCTAAATTATTGATTTTATTTCACGTATTTGCAAAAACATGTTTTGTGTTACAGTCACACTAGTTCATGTATGTGTGTTGCACTTGTGATATTTTAGAGTGTCACCCCTTCATTGCTGTGCACTTTTTTTCTGCATCATGAATGATTTGTAGATTGTGTACACAAAAAATTCTGTATTTTCATATTTTTGCGTATTTCCCATTCATTTCCAATGGCGCTCATTTTTGACCGCGAACAACACAAGTGTGACTTTTTATTTTTACGACCATTTAGCTTTTTCGAATCAAAGCCACAATTTTTTTTTGTGGTCACATAGTGACTGCCATAAAAGTCAGCGAGTTTCGTTACCATTCCAATGAAGTAGCGATTTTTACAATTTCTAAACTTTTTTTTTTTTTTTTTTTTTTTTTTTTCAGTCTACAACAACCGAACAACACCAGAGAGTTAAATACGTCATTAACAACTAGTTGTTCAGTTTGGTTCCGTACACGCCACATAGAATTTTTCAGGAGTTAATTCCGTTTTAGAATGCGGCTGTCAATCTGTAAATGACTGAACTGTATGCGTATAGAACAGGATTGAACACTAATAGGTGAATTGACAACCATGAATTGTTCGTGCTCTTATTCACCCGTTGAACCCGCCATCAAAACATGCTCAGACATTTTCACATTTCTTGATCGTCTGCTTCTCATTTCGGATGTGTAATGCAAAACTCGATGACTTTTTATGGCTGAAATGTGGCCTAAGTGCAGCATTGTCAGTCAGTGAGATTGTGTTTGGCCCTTTTTGTCAGTTTATTGATGTCAGGCTCGCATGGGAAAAACTGGGACAGATTCATTTTTTAACTTTTCCACAAAATGCAGTAATGACTTGACTATTAACTTGATGAAGTGGAGGATTTTCTGTTTATTGTTTCTTCGTGGAGCCGTTTTAGGGCCATTTGGATCAGCACATCGTTATGATGACTTGCAGATCAACAGAATCGAAGCTGCGGTTTGGAGTTAGAAATAAACTCTTTACAGTGTGATGATAGGCCACAAAATCAACACTAGAATAGGTGTCTTTGCTCTTAAATCCAGGCATCTTTTGAAGGGAGCGTTTGATAGAAATGATTGTGAAAACCGACACTGACGTTCAGCAGCTGAAGAGTTTTACCTCAGAGATCAGTGCTGATTCATATTATTCAATAACAGAAACTCATTAAGCATGAACAGACGAGTTGATTAAAGTGTTGGAAATATTAGCTTTAAAGGGACAGTTCACCCAGAAATGAGCATTTGCTGAAAGTTTACTCACTCTCAGACCATCCAAGATCAGGATGAGTTTGTTTCTTCATCAGATTTG